AAAGTATATGTCAACACAGTTGTGGGCCCTAAGATGGCAATATACATAACATTACACGCCTAAACCAGAAGAGGACTACTAGGCTATGATCGCCTATGCCTCTGGTTGCTTCCCTTCACGCCGAGCCAAACTAGATGGCTCTCCTGAAAAGTATTGATGAACAGTGGGGTGAGACGTAAAGTCCTAGTAACCAAGTATTAATTTATGATATATACAAGTAGGATGGCAAGTTAGTGAAGTAGTGCTTAAATATAGTTTAAGAAATAAATGGTACTTTAATAGATATAATCACATAAAAAGAGTATATCTCTCTATCCACGACACAATTCATATAAAAGTACATATATGCAACAACACAATGAAATATGCCCTACCATCACCTTGCTCCTCCTTATGACTCCTTGACAAGGACCCGAGCTTTCTGTGCTAAGTAACCCAACCAAAGGTCACCCCACTCACATCAAGCAACGGGCCCCCTCCTGTACCTACACCGCCCAAGAATGGACTATGGTGCAAGAGGTGTTTACCCAAGAGTTCGTTCTCAATTATAGGCCAAGGAAAAGGAAAAACTACAGGGGTCTAACAAAAAGAAGCCAAACACTGGGATCAATAGTGTAGGCATGCCGCGCGGGCTTCAAGAACAATTATCCTCCACATAACAAAATCTCAACCTCCACATATGAACCCCATGCGTAGTCACAAATAAATTAATCCCGGTTACCTCTACTCCAAGCTTAACCTCACAGCTTGAGAAATAAGAGCGCAAATTACAAACTCCGAAGTACAAGATAATCTACAAATAATATAGATACAATTTAATATATATACAAATAATTAACTTAAATAACATAGAATTTATTATTAATAATATCTATACATATATTTACTATCCAAAAATTCTTACTTCAAATAACAATTTTTCTCTACCCAAATAACTCATTATAATTATAATTATTTATAAAATATTGTTTTTATCTAATATTGTAAGAATCTCAATTTATAATTTAAGTTTCCAGTTTCAAAATTTTTCTAATAATATAGTCTTAACCTATTTTACATTTTAAACCGATTAAAATATCAATAATATATTAAGTAACCCAAATAAGTTATTTAATTTAAATTTAATCGGTAAAAACATTCTATATATCTTGAATAATACATTTTTCAACTAAAATCTTAGTTTAAAAATTCTCAAAACAATCAATAAACAACTATAAACCGATTAAAATTTTAATAATATATCAAATAACCTAAATAAATTATTTAACCTATTTTTAATCGGTATAAATATGATATATATCATAAATGACAGATTTTTCAACAAATAAATTTAATTTTAAATACCATAGATAATAAATAGACAAATCTAAACTGGTTACAATTAACTACTTATTTATTTCTAAATTTCTACAGTCATATATTGTCAAAAATCACTACTTACTCTGTACCTAGCTCACAAAATTTTCTCTAAACATTGTAGTAATACTACTAATATAAAGTTCTAAATATATAGAAAATATTCATAAAAGAAATCTAATAGAAAGAAGTATTTTTATGTACCTAAATGATCCCCAAATGCTAGCATGTACTTGCAGAACTCTTCACTGACTCTCTTGTTCTTTTCTTCCTGCGTCTTTCACCCTCTCTTTCTCTTCTCTACATAACACTCACACTCTTCTATTTATCTTTTAACATGCCAACCGTCCTTCATCAATTTTCTTCTCTCATTTATTATCCTTCCCTATTTTCCTCCTCCCTCTTTAATTTCCAGCTTCAAATTCTTCCTTCCGTCAATGGTCTTCCCCCATGATTCTTCTCCCTCTTAATAACCCCCCAGCTTTTCCACCGAAAGTCGGTGGAAAGCTGGGTCAAATTTCTTTTTTTAATATTAATAAAATATTATTATTTAATAATAGTAAAATATTATTTTACATTATTTAATTATTTTTTTAAAATAATAGTTGAATTTTTTTTATAATAATATTTAGGATGTCACATTTTTAAAATAGAAAGGATGTTTCTATAATTAAGGTAAAATAGAAGTGCGGTTGGTGTATTTTATTCTCATTCTTATGATAAAATATTTTCGAACATTTCATTTTTTAATTAACTAATATAGCTATAGGTAAACCAAGTAAATTCTTAAGATGAAAATAAAATTTGTCCTTTTTCTTCACACCAAATATATATAATTATTATTATTTATTATTAATATTATTTAATTTAATGGTAACTTCAAAATCATTTTTCATCTTATTAAGTTTAGTCCCTTTAGAGATTTTGAAAGACCTTTTTTCTCTCGAAAAAAGAAATAACAACCCACTTTTTCATAACCTTTTATTTACTTTCATTTTATTTTTTATTTTTATTTCAACTAATTTCAATTCTCACGCTATAAAATTCTTTTATGATATTTCCATGCAATATTGCAATGCTGGTTATACAGATTCAAGTGCTAGCACGACTTTGTTCAAATGCAACAAGGAAGAATTCTACATTTACTGGTACTTTTTTGTTTCTATTTGATTAAGGATTTTCACCTTATTCAATAAGTGCGTTTTCTGATATTGAACTTGTGTTCTCATCACTTATCATATCAACCAACAGTTTGTTATATATAACATGAATTTTCTTAATTGGAACCTGTGTTCTCTTCTATTTGTTAGTCTTTTCTTGACGCGCATAACATGGGTTTTCTTAATTTGGTAACTTGCCAAAAAAATGCAGTATTATTTTCTTCAATTGTAAATGTAAGAGTTAATAAAAGGATTTAGTCTGATAATAAATATAAGATTTTTATTTATTTTATTTTTTAAGTTTATATTTTTTTTCTTAAGTTTTCCTCATGGAATTGAGGGAGGTTTTTTTTTTTAAAAATCATATTAGTAGTTCCCAATACAACTAATATAGCAGGTCATTTTTATAAATAATTAATTTAACTTTTTTTTTTGCAGTTTATAGTTATCTCTAGATCTATTTATGATTGAAGGGAGTGGTTTTTTTTTTTTAACAAAGTTTAATTTTAACTTTTTTTTTAATTATATTTTTACCTTTAAAATGGTTCTTTAGACAAAACCATAATCCTACTAACGAACAAATAATAGTTGGATGGAATGGCAAAGACTTGATTTTTTTTCAAACAAAACAATCAACATCTATAATCAATGATGTTTGACATTTCTCTATGGTTCTTGGGAAAAAAATTGTGAGATATTCCGCTAATTATATACATTGTATACGGTGTGTATCAAAAAAATATACATTGTATACGGCAAGGTTTAAGAGCATTGCCTACATCAAACAAAATACTATTCCAGTCTTTAATATATGACCTAATTGTTGAATTGATTTTGGTTTTAAATATAAGACCTATTTCTTATATGTATCAGTTTTTTCTAAATTACCCCTATTGATACTTTTTCAAGCATAATCAAATAAAAAAGGAAGGAAGAATATTAAGAAAGATGATTATGATATTTTAGAAGAAACATGTCATATTTTTTATAATTAATTAACTTACCTAACTTTCTTAATCTAATCAAATTAGTTGAATATATTTTATATTAAAAATCGGTGGAGTATATTTTAAGATCTTTTAAGGCCGGTTTTGGGACAATATTAGAATATATATGTAGCAGGGATTAATTTTTGATATACTACGATTTTCTATTTTTTAAACTTTATTTATTAATCCATGAGTAGATTTTATTAGATTCAACTCACATTGGTCTCTCCATTTCCGTTTTACTTCGTGCTACTTCATTTCCATGTTATTTTACGTTGTAAGGGGCTAACTTTAATATGTTTTTTGAAGTTAATTAATTAAATTAAAATCTTATATAAAATTAAAGGACAAAATGGATATTTTAGTTTAAATAAAAAATTTATGTACAAACCCCATAATTATGTATAGTACAACAAAAATAAAGTTATAACAATGATGAACTGTTATTTTTTTAAATTCAAAATAACATTATTTCATATTAAAAAAGAGAAAAAATATAAAAACTGATTGAATTACCAAAATTCTTGATGGGATTGATGAGAGATTAACTTATTTGTGCACTATTTTGATCCACTAATTGAAATTGAATTTTGTTACTATTGTCATGCCTATTCTAGAAGAGAATTACAAACATCAATAGCTGTAATTAGTTTTTTTTTTTTGGTTCTATATAATTAGTTATTTTTATGTCATACCGAAAATTCAAATTCCTCCATTTCTGTCGTTTTTTATAGATGATAATTCACGGGTTTGTCTATCTACACCAAGAGGGGGGCAAAAAAAAAAAAAAAACAGCACTGAATATCTGTTAATTAAACCCCCCCAAAAAAATCTTCTACTTTCATCAGTCCAATAATTCATAAAAGCAATTTATTGCTTTAAATCTCCCTTTGCCCCCTTATTATTTATTTAATTTTATTATTTTTGGACCCTTTCTTAACTTAAATGTTACTCCACATAACATAAATATTATGTATATAACTTTAAATTTCAAAATAAATTAAGAAATTAAGAATTAAGAATAAAAAGGAAAAGCTGGCTTTTATTTTTAAGTCCTAATTTTATAACAAAACTTCCATATTGTTCTTACGTGAAAATAAAAGAAAGTCAAATGTCAATTCCATAAAGGCACGTTTGGATAATTTTGTTCCACAATAATTACAACATGGATTTATTTATGGTAGAAGATATAACGTGTGGCTTTTAGGAGGCTCACGGAAGCCACTTGGGAAAGAGACCTCTAAAACCACATCATCCACCAAACCCGGTCCATAAATGGGCCCACCCGTAACCGACAAAGGATCCGAGACCCGAAATCCTAACCAATCACAGCTTAATATTAGATAGACCTCTCTCAGCCACGAATTCAGATATGCGTCCTTCCTACGTGTGAACCACGTGGCTCACAAAATCACTCATCGACCCACGTGACGTCACGTGCGATGGACCCCACACAGCCTCTCTCTCTCTCTCTCTCGCGCCCGTCCCCTGGAAGCTCCGTTCCAGACTTCAAGTTTTTACCATGTGAACTTTTGAAGACGAAGTAGAAGGAGAAGTAGAAGGATGAACTGAAAGAGCTCTGCTTCTTTTTCTCTCTCGTTGCATGCGTTTCTGTTTTTTTCTTTCTGCGATGTTTCTCAAAGCTTCTGTTTTCTAGGCACGATTTGATGGTGTTGGGCTACTTTTCTCTGTGATTTTTCTGCGGAATTAAAAAATGTTCCGGTGAATATATGAGAAATGTTTGATTGGAACGACGAAGAGGTGAGTCAATTTTTCTTTTGGTGATTCTTTTTAGCTGTGTTCTTAGTTGATAGTTTGTTATCCATAAGGTGGTTTGGTTACGCAGGATAGTAATCATGGGAAATTGAGGTGAATTCATTACTTGGTCTGCCGTGTTTCCCCTTAGTGTCTTCTTTCTATGTTACTGTTGGTAAAACGGTTATAGATGTGGCATTCTTCTGTATGGTTTAAGAGCCTCTTGAACGTTATCTTGAATATTACATATTTTTTGAATTGGTATAAATATGTCATGCACATTATGGGAGCTGTGGCAAACGTCTGTTCTGTCGCTGGTGTATCTTTAAGGCCTAACTCCGAACAATGAGGGAAGAAGAGATGAACTTCGATCTCTTTTCATTATGTTCAGATGTCTGTTTGCTGAATTATTTAGGCGTATTGAATAATGACAGAATATTTAAAACAAAGAGAAGAAGGGTTTTCATACATGAAAAATCCTGATGGTTGTATGGTTATACCAAATTAGGATACTATTAGAAAGAGTTTATTAATAAGTTGCTGCTACTTTTCAGTTCACATCAGTCTTGGACCTGTTTTAGAATATGGCAATGCGAGTTATTGGTGAGGATAAAGGAGATTTTTCTTAAAAGGAAAAAAAATTACTCAGCTACTCAGCTGCGATCACTTAATAGACCAGGGATGATTGTGGTCGGAGTGTGTCATTTTAGCGACCAATATTCCAGTATTAACTTACAAAGGGGGACTAGGAACTGGGTTTTAACTAGTTTCTGAGAGAACATATGAGATTTACCTTGACCTCAACATGGAGATGGTATAGCGTTGAGGACGTGGCTAGTGGTAAACAAGTATTGTTACAACCTACAAGCAGAAGCCTGAGATTTGGAGTATTATAGACCAATATTACAATTTTTAGGGCCTAATCCCTGGAAGGGATTAGAAAAATCTCAACTGCATGGGGCTTTGTGGATACCTTCTGGGAAGGTGAATTTTCTCGAATTCACTTTCTTCTGCGGTTGCTTATTATATGAAGGAGGCATGGGTGAAGAGTGGAGTAAGACACTGCACCAGAGCTTTCCGGATGATTTGGTTTCTTCCTGTAATGACGCTTTTATTATTGGTTCTTATTAACCAATATGTAGAGAAGTGGAGTTGAAAAAATGGATATAGAAAACCACCGAAACACCCATTTTATTTTATTTTTCACTTGGATAATGATTCTGTTTTTGTTCCCTCCAAGTTCCTTCAGTTTTTCCTTCTTTTCTCAACTTGAAAATCCGGATTGATGGATTCACATAGGTCTCTTGGTCTTCTGTCTATTATGGTCAATTTAAAAATAAAAGGCCTTGATATTGGACATAACCTCGGGTGAAGTTGTTGTAGTTGTACTGGGTAGCTTTTTAGTGCTTGTTACTACAACTTATCACTATATTCATGGATAATTTTTCCCCCTTTTGCCTTGGGAGCGTCACCTTTTTAATTATACATTGATTTGGAGCTTCCCTTATTCCTTAAGCGTGGAAATCAGGGTTTATTATTCATGAGGACGAATTGTGTCATAGACCTTTCAATTCTGAAGTTTCAGATGATTAGTGATGGCCATTGAATAGTATGACTTTAATCTCTAATACACCTTTTCACACAAAAGTCCTGTTATATATTTGATAACATAGTCCTGTTGTATGTTTCGCTGGAACTTTATCTTAAGAATATACGAGAACGGGTACAAAGAAGCAGCTTTGAAGAGAGAAATTTGAAAATAGTTGAAAAGAATGAGAGATGCTGCAGGCACGGTAGATTTTAAATTTAATAAAAAGGGTGCTATGATTGGAAAATTCTAGTGTTTGGATAAGCATTCATTTGTGAACCATTCTATATTTTAGTGTTATATTAAAAAGGTTTGTATTTGGTCCGTTGCCTCCTTGATTCAAACTCAGATCTTGTGCAGTCTTGGTCAACCATCTATGATGCATTTAATTCTTTTTAACTTTATATTTCGTTCTGTCTCTTTGTTGTTCTAGAGAGTTCACTGTTTAAAATTTAATTTCTCTCTGTTTTTTTTTTTTTGCTGCCATGGATTTTAAGGAAGCTATATTGCCTTTATTCCTATTTATTTGTCAACCCTTTGTATTGGGGGGGGGGGGGAGAAAGAAATAAATTGTCCAGTGAAACAGATAAGTATTTCTCTCATATTTTTAATTTGGTATTGGAGTGCCGCTGGCCTGATTTTTTTCAGTACGGCTACCAGTCCATTGTGACTGAAGGAAAGAAGAGCTGCCGCTGAAAAGGAAACCCAATCCTCTCAGGCCTTCCCTGTCAACACTCATAGAACACCACTCACATACTAAACAGATAAGGTCATACGTAGTTATCTATTATAGAACCAACCTATGATGATGTTTGATTGAGGGAAGGAAAGGGAAATTACTTCAGTTGGGGAGGCTGATAAGCCAATTCCTAGTGATGCCAAAAGTAAAATTGAAAACCTGAATGTTAACTACGAGCAAAGAGGTAGGTGAGAATTATATGCTTTTCAGGGCTGCCCATGAAATTTGATATGCAACTGAGATGCAGCTCATGAAGCCTGTTCTCCTTGTAATAGTGTAGTTGAGACACTTGAGATAGAATGCTCAATTCACGAGCTTATATAGGGGATACCTACGTCAATAAAAATGTTGCGAAAAAAAGGGGAGAATTTATAAATTCCTGATGGATCCCAGCCGACTGTTGCCACCAAAACACACAGTGTGAAACATAAGTGTGTCGCAAGGGGAAGAAAAGGGGGAGCTACTATCCAAGAAGAAGACTTAAAGCTTAACTTAAAGCTTAAGAACGTAACAGTTAGGAAAGTCGGGGGGCAAAGGGAAGGTGTAATGAGGAAGAGCCAGGAGGGAACATTTAAAAAGAGTAGTTGACATCTAGAAAGGAAAACAAAGGAAGGGAAAAAGGAATGCTGCTAGAAAGCAAAATTAATTACTTCCTAATGTAAAATGGCATCAACCTTGAGTTCCACTTGACCAATTGATAAGAGTTGTGCTAACTATCCAACGTCACCTGCACATGAAATTGTAGCAATGTAATACCATATACTGCAAGGATAAAATATTTGGGAATTAAAATTCAACAATTATGTAATAAAGTTCCTGAAATACTCCTAGACAAAGGCTAAGCACAACAAACCCAATATGGGTTAAGGCGCAAATTTGCTGGGAAAGCTTTCACTTAAAAGCAATGGGCGCTCAAATTTTTTTTTTTTTTTTTGGGGTGCAAATTTGCCAGAAAGTTTAAAATTGTAGTAATATTAACGTTGACCGTTAAAATAGTGGCATTGACAGTTAACATTTTTAACAATAAGGGATAATATGGCTACAATTTTAAATTCTAGGACAAATGTGCACCTTAACCTATCCCAATATTGTCGCTTTAAAGTGCTAAAAACCCAAGATTAGGTATGTAAAACCGTGAGAATAATGGGAAATATGAATATCCTTGTAAAGAGAGTGTGATTGAGGCATCTGAGATCCAATGCTTAAATAACAAGCTTAAATAGGTAAATGAATTTGCAATGTGTAAAAATGCTAAATACTATTGGACTTCAAAACCTTTTCTTTTTCTTGTTGACTATTTTCCTTCTTCGTATTTATTTATGCCTTATAATGACTTGTTTACAGCTAGCCAATATAATATGGGGTGATGCTACTGAGAGTGATGATCATATTGTGCCTTTCCCAGAGGGAAGTGACGATCTTTGCAACAAGAAAGAATGGAATCAGGAAGCTGCTGGCGTTACACTTGCTGAACAGAAGAAACCAGAGACAAATATTGATTTTCATGGCAAAAAGATAGGAAGCTGTTCAAACAATGATAACAGTAAAGGAGCATCTGATGCAGGATATGGCAAAAGCTCCTGGCCTGACTCATCGTTATCTAGTGCAGCCAAGACTGATCAGGGTACGCTGGGAACTGAAGTATCTAAAAGTTTAAGTGAAATAAGCAAGCACAGCTCATCAAAAGGTAGTAAATTTCTTAATTACTGGAATTATGGTTAACCACTAAATAGCATGGGCTTCTGTGCATGTATACAGTGCATGTACCGTAGACATTTGTCTTGCACTGAGTGTTCTTATCTTTCTATAAAAACTAAAAATCACATGCATTATGAAATTTTTGTTGGCTATTGCTAATTGCATGCATATTTGACAGAAGAGGTTGCTCGACCAGATAAGGATGTTGAATATTTACAGAATGAACACCAGGGGAAAGAACAAGGAGACTTAATTGACTATGGTTGGGCTAATATAGGAAGTTTTGATGACCTCGATCTCATTTTCAGGTAAAATAGAAAATCTATGTCATGAGATATTTGGTATACAATGTTTTGATGTCTTTACACTGGAAATTCCGTAAAGATCTTTATGATTATTCTCACACATCATTCTAGTTTACAAAAATGTTTCTAGAAGTTGACTAAGAAAAGCAAAGGCCCAACTTTATCTCTCTCACTATATTTTGAGATATGAAAGGAGTAATGCTACTTAAACAACTATTGCAATCGCAAGGACATTCATTGTTCCAACTGAGTTGTAAAGGGACAATTTTAGCTATGGTCACAAGGCACAATTGTGGATGCTTCAATTGAAACACTATTTGAATTTATTGAGGAGGCCTTCAATGACAAAGTACTTTTGCAAACAATCTGACTCATCAAAACATGAATGAGACTTCATTTGCTGGTTCTTTTTATTTAATTTACTTTTGGAATGCTTTTTTTTTTTTTTGGTCGTTCTGTTATGCTTCCTTCGATTTCACCAGATAGTCCTTGTAATTGGACTGAACCCAAGTTTCTTATTAACAGTATATATCTTTGGAGTTTCATAAAGGCATTAGTCGGACTCATTATTTTCACAAGTGACGGTTTTGCAGCAATGATGACCCTATTTTTAGCCACGTAAATATTGATAATGGTGATGAGCTGTGGTCTTCAAAAGATGAGAGTAACGGCCCTGCACCTATATCAGTGGACACAAAACCACCAGGTGGTTTAAGTAACAGATTTGAACCTTCAGAAATTAAAGTAGAGTCTGTTCAGTGTGATGATGATCAATCATATGCTCTCTGTTATGACAAAATCACTGGTCCTGTATCCCAAGATACACAAAATGCACCTGACATTGCTGTTGATGTGGGATATGCTGGGATTAGAAGCAAGCTTACTGTAAAGGAGCGGCTGGTATGTCCAGTAAACTGGTAGCATGCACAATAAATGTACCACCCACTTTTTAAGTCTAACTTGTTAGGTGGAGTAAAGAAATTTCTCATTCCACTTTCTTCCCACAGGCAAATCATGAGACGGGAGGAACAATCACTTCTGTGGCCTCTGGTTTAGCTTCTGAAAATGTTGGAACAGCAAATGAACTTACTAATAAGGTATTTCGTGATTATTCTAGAACCTTATGACAATACCGTGAGATAACTGTCGCCTTTTTTTTTTTTTTTGGGGTTACAGAATATGACAAACTCAACTAACATCTTTTTAGGTATTCTTCCTAGAAAACATAGTGAGTTTTTTTTTTTTTTTTAAAAAAAGGAGGTTAACTTGTTCAATTTGTAAACTCAAATCATATATATGCAAGAGTTTATAGTTTGCACCTCACCTTATAGGCAGTAAAAACTCATCTGAGTTGCTCTTCATAAAATGAATAATTCCAATAGCTCTCATACAAAAATGATGGAGCCCAAGCCAAATGATGGAGATCCAACACTGAATTTATATTCAATATCGAAATACTCTCCTTCTCAGTGAAAGAAAGAGAATTACAGTTTAAATAAGCTCACACACAGACCAAGTAAATTATTGAAATCACAGAAAATTCAGAGTGTACACACAAAGCTCGGTAGCAAAAAAACACACTGAAAACAGAAAAGATAAGGATGAAGAAAGATCCTTGTCTCTATCCCAACCTGGTGTTCTGAGAGACCAAGTACTCTCCCTCACAAAACCACAATCTACCTGCCTCCCAGAAAACCCCCAAACCCGCTTAATAAATCTCTCCAATCCCACCAACACACTCTCGACCAGCTCCCCCTACTTGGGGCCCCAGTGGCACTTGCCCAATTCCCTTTCTCTTCCCTCTAGCCAGCCCTTTTTACTCTCTTTTGCCTTTATTGTCTTGTCATAGCTCTTTAACAATCTAGGCCTAAAAGCTAAGGGTCCACCAGATGAGAAATTTCGCCCTGAAGATGGGTGCAAAAAGAAAGAATCACAAGTGTTGATATTGTCTAAGGGATCTCGACAGATCCTTATTGGATTGAAATCTCATTTTCTTTTCACTTATTTCGTTAATGTTTTCTCGTCTAATTCCTGTATTAAATTGTACTTTTTATTTTCTACATGTGTTCCTTTAGAACTTTACCTCTGTTTACTCAGTCTGTTTGTGTACGCATGGTTTTGGTATGAATGGCATGAATACCTTACGTGTTATTGATATGGTCAAAAAATTCATATACATCTTGTTCCCAGTCAGAGTGACTAAGTTCTATCTTTCTATCATTTTATATATGTGAATGCAGGCTTTTGAGCAGAAGAATCTGTTGAAAGCCCAGAAAAAATCACAGGGGGAACAAGAGGAAAAAGTATTGGAGAACTATGGAAGTTGGTCCCCTTCAACAAGTTCATTGAGACAATTTGAAAGTCAACTAGCACCTTCTGCCACACAATCTTCTCCCTCTCCAATTTTAGGGCAACAGAAGCAGCTTCAAGGAGCTGAAACATTATACCAGAACATCATGAGTCCATACGTGGCATCTCCTGTCAATGAAAATCTTACTAATACATATATGCCGTTACTTTCACAGGCCCAGTCAGAAGATCTTAGGCATCAAGCTCTACTTTCTGGATATGAAGTGTCTTCTGATATAGTGAATCCTGCTGACTCAGTCAAGCCTCTGGCCATGACTCCTCAGGAAAAAATTGAAAAGTTAAGGAGGCGGCAGCAATTGCAGGCAATGCTTGCTATTCAGAAACAACAACAACAATTAGGCCATCAAGTTCTTAGCAACAATGAATCCATCGCTCAGAAATCTCCTTTAGAAATGCAAAGTCATTCCTTTGATGGGACTGATGCTCGAATTGAAGATCTAATCAGTCTTCCTGCACCTGGCCATCCTCCGGAACAAGATGATTCCAATACAATGTCTGTGCCGGATGATGATTATTTTGATGAAGATGCAATAATATACAGGCTTCAGGATATCATATCAAAGGTATGGTTGAGATGTTAGTGGTGTATGTTTTGTAATACATTAATCTCCTTGTTTACTAATTTGGACATGGCTACAATCCTGAGGCAAACTTTATGTACAGTTAGACATCCAAATAAGGCTTTGCATCAGAGATAGCTTGTTCCGGTTGGCACAAAGTGCAATGCAAAGGCATCATGCTAGTGATACAAGTAGTACGAACAAAAGTAGCAAAGAAGAACTAGAAGTTGTTGCAAGAGAGGAAAGCAATTTCTCGGACAGGTTTGTAAGCTACCAAGATTCAAAATTAATGACTGCTATAACTAGCTGATTTTTTATTGAGCTAGGAAACTGTAAATCTTACAACTCAAGCATATGCTATGATGAGTACATATAATTCCTCCTTGAATAATTGACAGCATCAGAAACTGATAAAGGTGGAAAACAATACTGTTATGTGTTTGTCTTCAAGTAGTACTTTATGATATTATCCAGTTCTTGGGTCCTCAGTTCCTATATGCAGTGATAGAGTCTGGACCTTGGGCAAGGGCTCTAGGCCAGTTAACCATAGCAAGAATAATTTTAAAAGGAGGGGTTCTTCCTTTCTAATGGCACAGAGACACATTTTTAGCATTGCAGAAGAAGCAAGATCAGACTTTGCTGTAGGAAACCGATTCTGACAACATTCGTGACGGTTAAATAGATAAATAAATGAAGAGAGAGGTGCCAAGTGAAAAAACAATCAAGGACTGGAATCCTTATCTTCCTCAAACTCATTTGAATTGTAGACAAAATTATTCAAAAATAAATGAATGAATAAATAAATAAATAAGTAGATAAACAGGCAGAACAGATGAAGAGAGAGGTACCAAGTGAAAAACAATCAAGGATTGGAATCCTTATTTTCCTGAAACTCATTTGAATTGTAGACACAATTGTTCAGAAATTCTGTCTAATGGGAATATCTGAAATAGAAAAGAACAATTTGTTCTTCATCGCTTTAAATTCTGATAGCTACAAGCCAATTGCTCTGTATCTATTATTTCTTGATCTTGGTGTTGATTTACCTGTGGGTTATTAGATAATTATTTGCATAGAAAGTCCAGTGGACTTGCATGCTTTTGTGTGATTGGTTAGGAGCACTTTTCTGGATGATTAATTGCTAGTTCGATTTCAACAGGTTAAACCTGTCCTATAAATTGCTTATTGAAGATAACCAAAGTCTTGGTGGCTCTTATTGTTCTGTTATTGCCACAGAAAACGACAAATACAGATATAGGGAAGGAAAGGTTAAAGCCATCAATCCAAATCCCTATAAAATAGCCTACGATTTGAAGTTAAATTAAGCCTTTCTTATTGACATGTTAGGAGAGAAAACATGACGAAAGTGCTGAAATTACTGCAGATAAATATGATAAAATGGATTTACAGAACTGAACTGTGCAACGTGTGATAACTTGTGTTCTTCAACACTAACCCTGCTTGTCTCTCCGTATTAAATAAACACCCTTTCCTAGCCTAAATATGGCCATAATTTCCTAGTTAACCATTGTAGTCTAACGTATGTCTCCACTAAGTAACATGTTTAATGGGCACCATCGTAATGATATATCTGAATTACTGATTTTTCTTTCCTTTGATGAATCATTTTGGGATCACAGAAGTACCACGATATCCAATGCTGAAACAGAAACGAATCCTATCGATCGAACTGTGGCTCATTTGCTCTTTCATAGGCCTCTTGAATTGAGAGGAAATCATCGTGACAAATTGAAGTCACCTCTTTCTGCCAACATGCAATGTGAAAACAAGTCAACTAACCTGGAAAACTTGCCTTTGGAGTGCTTGCTAGATGAGGATTTGAAAAGTAATCAACCATTTTCTCTCCAAGGGTTTAAAAATTCTAGCTCAATGTTTGAGGCCCCGCCTATGGAACAGCTTAAGAAAAGTCCTTGCGTTGACACATCTGAAAATGCATCCACCAATAAGGCCGCTGATGTTGGGGTTCAGGAGCTTGAAGCTTCTCAATGATGAAAGAGGTTCTCAATAAGTACTGAGGGTAATACCTTCCTATATGACTTCTCTACTTGTTGATATGCTTCTCAAACGCAATTATGTATGAATTTACTGGTAATGCAAATGTTCTCTTTTATTGGCAGCTATCTTGTTCTTAATCTAGCGCAAGTGTTGAGGACTATCATCGTAAAAGAATCCCAAGTACCAGTGTCATGCATGTACAATTTAAGTCTCAATAATATCTATGTTGCCTCTGTTTTAAAACCATGACTAGTGTGTATCATCCAAACGTCTGTTGCTATGCTGTCATAACTTTACATGAATGTGTCCAGTGGTAAAACCACTCGAATGTCAGATTGGTCAAGTCTTGGCCTGACTGATGTAGACCAAGTTTTAAGACTGATGTAAGATTTTATTTACGCGACTTGGATAGCATTTTCCAGTGATCATCATATTAGAGTAGCCCCAAAACCAGCTTGTGATTTTGATTAGGATATCAATTACATCTTTGGCTGCAGGCAAAAAGTCATCTTTAAGAGGGATTCAGGAAGCCCCATTGGTTAGTACCCCCCCTCCTTTTGAGGTCGACTGATCTTTTGATTTTGCAACTAGAGTTATACTTGATTATCAGCTCCATTCTCAGCCATTAATCTTCAATGCAAGGTCCTAACTCGGTTATTGGTGCCATTGTTGTGATCGATGTGAGTGTGTAGGCTAAAAGGGAGGCTCCCATGTTATGAGCAAGTAACTAGAATATGATTAATCTATCTTCGTAGTCATTTTAGTCCAAAATAATAACACTGATTGTGACAGTATAATGCAAGATTTATGGTTTGTCATGCTTTTGATTGGGGTAAACACCTATAATTTCAAGTTGAATAATGATACTTGGGTGGCATGTTGATAATGGATTCAGAGATTCCCATAACTTGAATGACCTCATTTGAGTAAGATATTGACTTGCAGTGGATTAACCAGAGTTGAGTGCTTGATGGACATATCTACTGATAAATTTTTTAATATTTGATCTAACGCCAAAGTACACGAGCTAGGCTTCAATTTTGCTGTCCTGTTGAAGACTTTATTTCGAGGAGTGTTCGGAATAATCAGAAAGCACTTGTAAAAAGTGTTTTCACGTAAATCAAGACAATTTTTTTTTCATATTTGTTTTATATACTGTAAAATTATTTTTAAAATCCTAATTTGGTTTTCACTCAAACATATTTTAAATTTAAGTGCCTAGGTCAATGAAGTGGAATGAAGAAAATGTTATCACAGGAGCTGAACAAAATTGTGTGGCGGGGTGAGCAAAAATAAACTATAACAAAAAACTGAATCAAACCAAATTCAATTTTGGTTTTTGGGTCCAGTTCTTTTAGTTTTTGGTTATATGTTTGGTTTTTTTTTTTAATAATTTGGTGTTCGGTTTGGTTATTATGAAAAAAATATAGTTAAAACCGGAAAACCAAAATAAATATATAATAATTTATATTTAATAAATATTATTATAATAAATATACATATGAGTGTATGCGAGCTCTTCAAATATATTTATATTTAATAAATATTATTACAATAAATCACATTGAATAATAAAATATCATTAATTAATGATTGTAGTTATGTTTTTCTAATTTAAAATCACTTTTCATATTTATATATTTTTGTTAACTGAATAATTAAACCGTTAATTAATTTGGTTAGGTGTTTAAAATTAATTCTATTTGATTATTCAGTTAATTTGATTATCATTAAAAACTGAACTAAACAACCAAATGCTTCCTCTTATTTGGGGACCACTAAAAGCAATCTTAATATCAACATTAATGGGGCTTTTTTCTTTTTCTTTTTTTCAGGAAACGCTTAGTTATTTTTGTCCATTATTTTTGCTTTTCTTCTGGAGTTGGAAAATTGGGGGGAGGGGTATTGGGTGGTCTAAATTTCTGTTTGTCATAGAAACTATCTTGGATAAGTGGAAATTATCACTCTTTTGATCATGCTATTGTTAATGTCACGAGCTGCTAATACTAACAGACACGTTAGGGGTTGTTTTTGAGTCACCCTAAGAGCCGTTTGGTTCAATTGCAAACTCTTTTGGGAATGCAATGAGGTGCAATGCCATAGGATGCAATGCAATAATGATTACCATCAATATGCTTGGTTGTTCTTAACAAGATGTGCATAAATTATTTTTCATATTTAATCAGAATTATAAAAGGTCCAAAATGCCCCAAAACTCCCAATTTCCAATCATCTTCTTCCTTAACCAAAACACTAGCGTCAATACAAAATCCAAATAAGAATCATGTTTAAAAGAAAAAATCTTAAGCAGATCATGAGCATAACGAATTAAAGAGGAAAAAAAATATATGAATTAAGTTTTAAACATGGTTTTAAATCTTATAGAAGAAACAAAATAAAAACCAAGATTTAAACCATAGACGTATGAAAATCTCATGTTTGTCACAACAAATTTGATTTGGACATTTGCCAAAAAAATAGATCCAGAGGAAGACGTTCATAAAAAATAGATATGAAATGGAGACATTCATAGCTTCAAATGTTAATGGCCAAGGATGAAAATGACGATAATGAAAGGAGGGAGAGAAAAAGAGAAGGGCTTCTCACCAGGGGAAAAAAAAATAGAGACAAGGGAAAAAACGTTGATTATGGTCGATGGGGCTAATGACGCCATGGGGGGTGGCTATTGATAATGGAGGAAGAGGAAGGAGACAATGAGAACAAACACAAGGATAAATTAGACTTTTTGAATCATGCAATGAACGGTAATAGAGATTCATAGAGGGGAGGTATGAATAGGTATTACCAATTTTTTGGTAATAATCATTACCATGATAAATCCCATTACCAAACTAAAGAGCAACCAAACATGCTTTTTTTGGTAATGCAATTTTAATTACCATTGCAATGCTGTAATGGGATTGAACCAAACAGGTTTTAAGTCTTCTTTTCTTTTCATTTCTCTCTTTTTTCTCTTTTATTTTATGTCAACTGATGCCTTCACTGAATATATTGCGAATTCAAAGGCTTACAAAGCTATCCTTTCTTCTTTACTCTCTGCGTATGGGTTGGCAAATTTACTGTCCAATCAAATAGTTAGCCTTGGCTCGCGACGGGAAGCTCTAATCAAATTTTATCTATGGATGAGACGCAAGACGGAGTTCTTAAATTTAAAAATGACCACCTTGAAACACCACATTTACAATTCATTACCAAGTAGAATTTTTTCCCCTATGCATAGTTATCCTTTTATTAGAGGTAATTTTATTCGAAGCACTATCAGGTATTAAATGTGAATACTTTTCATAGCGGGAATTCGAACATTAGTTTGTAACGCTATGAGGTACTAGCTATCTCTGTTAGACATAATCCTCATTAGTTTGCCAAGTAAATTTTTGAAGTTGATAACTTTTGTTTGGCAACACGTTTGGTTTCACTACAAGTAAGTTCTTTTATGTTTTGAGACAGACCTAATATATTTATTTATTTTTTTGGTAAGGACCTAATATATTTATTTTGTCTATTGCAAAATTATTTAAGATAAGTTGATTCAAACAAGTAAATTATATTTGGGGTAGGCTTATTTTTTATTCAGCTTCTCTTCTTCCTTTTTTTTTTCACTTAATGACTTCTGTTTTGGAAAATAATAAACAGACTTTAAAAATTAACATCTAGATTTAGTTGTCAAGTTATTATGATAACTAAGTGGTTATTTTTAACTAATTTATAATTAATGTTGACTAATTGTACATTAACAATAATAACATGAAAAAATTAATGTTATGATCTTAGTTTTAAGTTGTGTTAAACTTGGTCCTTTAAACGTGATTTAGGTGCAATTCAATCTAATATTTTACTCGATTGCAACTCAGTTCTTAATTTTTTTTCATCATATTATATTTTTATCCATGCCAGCCCAAAATCACCTCTAAATCATTTTATGTGGCAAAAATTGTTTATAATACTTATAAATTTGTTGACCCTGGCTTTCAACTCAATATATGTTTAGAAGAGCCTTAGAAAGCTTCAGAATTGGGACGATAGAAAACTTATTGAATTAGAAAAAAACTGAAATTTTGCTCCTAATGAAATTTAAACATTCAGAAATTGATATTTAATATATCATTCAAACAAATTTTTGTTAAACAGATTTTTTTTTTCTTTTATGAAAGTATATCTAAACATAAATCATATTAGATTAATTGACTTTTACCTCAATTTCCGTTAGCAAAAATCAGATGAAATAAAAATTTTTTGTCAATGTTAATCCAAGGTAAACAAGTCTTATGTGTGGCCTTTTCATAAAATTGGGGGAAAAATGCTAAGCACGGCAGGGGACAAAAGAAGATATTGAAACTGTATATGAATCATAGGTGATCACCTCCTCCTCGTTGAGCCAACCAATAGAATGGGAAGAATGAAAATGGAATTAAATTCCATAATAAACATTAGTTTTGCGTGAAATGGATCTTGATATTAAAATGAAGGGTAAAAGGGTCAAAATACTTTCTATTTTTTTCAAAGAGAGCATCAGGTATCATAAATAAATCTTAAATGTAAAATACACGCAATTTTTTTTTTTAAGTGGGATGAAAATATCATATCTGTAGACGTTTGTTACTTGTTTTTGTGACGCACGGAGGATGAGAGGGGGATTGAATTGACCAAGGCGTGAGAGAGACCTGGACAGAGTCCAAAGGAGGGGGGAAAAAGTAACAAATGTTTGGAATAGTTAATGAATTTGGCATTTTCATCCATTTAAGAAATTCATATATATATATTTTAAGAAAATAATAAAAAAATACCTACTGAATTTCAAAATGATAAACGTGATTTTGATAGAATTTGACATGTCAAAATCGAAAAAATATTTAGTATAATCTACTTGTTCCAATAAGTAATTTCTTTGTCATTTTTTCTTATATTTTTTTTGCTCAAAATTTGTAGGAACATCATCATTTGGAAGTCTTTTTTTTACTCTTGGATGCCATGAAAGTTTTATTTTGTAACATTTCTATCCTACACTATTATCCGCTGTTAAGTTTGAGTGTTTGACAGTTAAAGATATTAGTTAAACCATATAATTTAACGGTCAAATTTAATAATACATAACGGTCAAAATATTTTTGCTATGAAAATAAGCTTCTAGGATATATAAGAGGAAAAAAAACTTTTAAATACTGGATGCTCTTTCATAGATACTTCCAACATGTAAGCTTATGCCTTGTATATGATGCCTTTATTTATAACCAAATAAGATAAGGTTGAAACCTACCCCATCTTCCCCTACCCTCCCCCTCAAACCACACAGCTCTTTAGGAGAGAACGGAATGACACCGATGGCTAGGGATTTGGTTTGAATCAACCGTTAAGATTATAATAAAATTAATGAGGGAGATTTACTTTTAAAAGTTGCATGATGTGG